ATTGGCACGCCATCAGCGCAGACATTCGCACCAGCAGCAACAGCAAAAGCGAAAACGCGCGAAATTGACGCGCTCGCACTCATCGCCCATCACATCGCCCACGTCGCCAACCATGGCACCTCATCCTTCGCATTTCAATTCATCCGCGGCAAAGGGCAAGCAACCCGACGCGCCTTCGTCGCCCCCCGCGCTCACCTACACCCATTCCATGGATTTCCACCATCAGCATCAGCATCAGCAACGCCAACAGCCCAAGGAACCCGCCAATTCCTTGCACTATCTGTCGTACGCCATTGACGTGGCCGAAAATCGCACGCGCTCCGCGTCGCCATCATCTCAGGATGAGCCGCCATCGCCCGTCACCGCCGCCGCAGAGGCAATGCTCATGTTTGGCCACCACCAAGTCCTCTAAACCGCCCTTCACGTCTCAGTTTTGTTGTTTCTATATACCTCTCTTTTCTCCTCCTTTTTTGTGTATTGATTGCCGATTGTGCTCTTCTTATTTCATGGTTTGCCCTCATGCCCTTGTATACCTGTTGTTTTGGATCAAAAGAATTAAAACCATTGTGCTTTTGGATTACTGCTTTAAGCTGCTGACAACACGAAATCGTCTGTGGGACGCTTTGCCTCCTTTTTTTTTTTCTTTCTGGGCGCGTTCCTTGGCCACCGTGCACCGTGATTGGCCAGTGGGCCGCTCGGAGGCGTTTCTTTTGTGCGGGCGGACATGAAAAAAACAAAAAGACGCGTCCCTCGGAACACCGCGTCAGTGGACCAGGGTCAAAAAAAAAAAAAAAACGAGCGCGTCGCTCCTTGCTTTAAGGTTTGAACCTTAAAAAATTCGCATCTTTTTTCTTTTTTTTTTTTCTTCCAATTGCCCCGTCCCCTGTTCGCTCAGCAACGCGCGCAAATGAGACAGAGAGGAACACGACAAACATCACGCCACATACACAGGAAAAAAAACAAGGGTGGGAAAGAGAGAGGAGGGACACCGCCCCATGCTCTATTTGTCCCCGCGATCCGTTCTTTTTAGCAGGTGTCAATGTGTTTGTCAATGTGGACAATCACCAGCACGTGGGCGACACATCACCTTGTTTTTTTTTTGCTTCCTTGCCTCTTGCAGCCCTGCCTGAGCCAATGCCATGCAAGGAAACAGCCTGCCGATCCGTCCTACCCCACAAACAGCGACGGAAACACAACAGAATCGCGCCCAATTCTCGATTGGGATGCATTCCTGCATGAACGATGGCCATCATCGCCCAGCAATTCATGCGGAGGGGCAGAAAAATTGAGCAAAAAAAAGCGGCGACGTGTCAAGTGGCTCTTTTTTCTTCTTCTTGCACTTGCCCCATCCTCGCCATTTCCGAACACAATGGGGTCTGCGGCTTTGCCTGAAGCGATGTGTGGAGCGTCTTTTTTCCTCGCGTTTTTGTTGTCCTGAGGCTTCAATGGCTCATGCCAATCCAAGGCACGTTGACCAAGCTAATTGGCGGTAGCTGCAGCCAAGCTCACAAACCAAAATCGAAAAAGTGGGTCACGAGAATGACATCAAACTTGTACACAACATGGAGCGCATGGCGAAACCACGAAAATGATAAATACAAAGTGGGGCCAAACTGCCTGTTGACGAGTAATCCGTGATTTTAGACATCGAATTGCATGCGGGGAAAACGTGTCCGCAGAGCCGCGTTGACGCGTGTACAAGCAAGAGGGACGCCAGACGCATGGGGTTGATAAAAGAGGCGTGTGGACTAGTGTCAAGGGATCATCCCACGCGCTCGCGCGTTTTTCCTCGTGGATGTTCTCATCTATCACGCCGAAATCGTGCTTAGCTGCAATTGACCACATTATGAAACAAAATCAGCTTGCGCGTGCTCCCGCTGACCTTTCCAAAAAGGCACATTTTATCACACATATTCTCGTTTTCGCTTTCTTCCCTTTTTTTCTTCTTTTGACAAGAGGACGATCGGCTTTCTCCTATGGCCGGGTGACGGGTGGTATCGACTTTGTATTATGTTGGTCAACAAGAAGCGAGGGGTTGGCCCTTGCTCGAGCTGCAGCCAGACGGGCCACAAGACAAAGGCAAACGACGTACCGCTCGACGCCCTGAAGCAGAGACGTCAATAACGCGCGAATCATAGTCGGCACAGGCGTTGACAATTTGAGGGAAAAGTCAGGTTAGTGCGCTGGACGGCATCTTTTTTTTTTTTTTTTTTACGCCTTGTGCTTATTCTTTCAATTTTTATTTACTGTAGCATTCGACAAAAGGCGCTCGACCCAGACAAAGATAGGGCCTGGCGCCGCCCAATGTGTCCCGCAAAGTGATGAGACGACAAGGTTGGTGACCAAGTCTACGCGGCGCGTGTAACGACGCGCGATACGGCGCTTCGACCGCTGATTCCGTTGTCCTTGGGCAGAAAATCGATCTTTTGCTCAAGGAAACGCACAGCGACCACTCCCATCAAGCTGGCCAAAGGATTGTAAGTGCTCATCTTAACCCCTCCCCCCTCCAACAAACAATGAAAATGCGCGATCGGCGGCTCATTTTTTTTTTTTTTTTTTTTTTTTTTACTTACGCGCAAGCTTAGCCATGCCGACTTTGTGTCCATCAAGGCCAAGCCGTTTGTGACGAATTTGGATGCCGCATTTTCGTATGAATCTCCCATTGGTGAATCCTCTCGCGATGTGTGCTGCATCGCTATTGCATCCGTCCATCCAGGCAACGTGCACCACGGCGCCGGTTTCCCATTGACAATGCGATTCTTGCTTCTGTTCTGAGCCCGCGTGGCTCTTCTCGAGCAATGCGCGGGCGAGGTTTTGTCTGCAGCTGGCGGTGTGGCAACGATGAACCGCCCAGTGTCAAGAAATCTTGGATTTGCGGCAAGACGCCGAAAAAGTAAGCGATCTGGGTGCCCGCATTGAAGAGGCCCACGCCGAGTATACCCAAGCCTATAGCGCTTTGAATCGAGGTAAAAAAAAAAAAATCACAAAAGAGAGTTTGTGCCTGACTTTTTCTTTTTTTTCTTTCTTTTCCTTTTATTTTCGCAGGACGAAAAATCAAAGCAACGAAGCGAAAGGACCCTCTGGACCAGGCTGAGCAGAAGCGCCCATCCGAGATGTCGCGCATCAAGATAGCCAAGCAGGTCAGCTTCGTCGGCAAGGCAATTGCCGCGCCATTGTCGGCAGAGCGCCGTCATCAAGCCATTGTTTTGCGCCGCCAGGACCATCCGCAGCTGCGCGCACACCCCTAGTACGACAATGCCGACGAGTGGATTGCGTGGCTCGTTGGCCCAAAGAAGGCGCAAGTCTCATGCATGCGGCCGCATATGAAGCCAAGTTGCCCAGATACGCCATCTTGACCAAAAAGCACACCCCTGCCCGGATCATGTACCTCGTTGAATCTTGCGGCGTACCAGAGGAGATGGTTGACGATGATGACGTCGTGGAAGTCGCTCTACAGGCGCGCGCGGAGATGATGTCGCGTCGTCCACGCCAAACGCCGCGAATCCGCAGCGGCAAGCCTGCTTACAAGCATTTTATCATGGCAAAGGTGCACGTTGCGGCCAGCGGATGGGCCAAGGTGCGTGTTGAGGTCGACGACAAGGTGGTCATGGAGAAGCATGGCATGTATGTTACCAATGCCATTCCACCCGGCGAGGATTTGCTCGACGTCGACCCCCTGATCCGCACCGATGCCATTCTTGTCAAGTCCGTCCAAACGCATCAGCCGGTGAAAGACCGCTCGGGCCGCGACGTCGTCGTTTCCGACGCTCAACTTCTGGACAATGCCAAGGATACTTATCTCAAGGCCTTTGAGCGCACACTGGACCAATTTGACCTGAAGCTGCGCCCGGAAATCACGCGTGCAATGCAATCGGAGCCTTGGAATGTGGCTGTGATGTATTGGCTCACATCCGTCAAAAGCACCCTGATATCAACCTGTCTATGGAAGCGTCCCATGCTCTGGTCAATCAAGTGATGAGCGAGACGCATCTGGGTGAACGTGTCATTTGATCAATTTGTGTTTCATTACAACCAGCGCGTCAGCCAGTCGACCACCACGCCTGACACCTCGGAGACGCGCAGCACACCTCGCAGCAGCAACACCACGGCCGCATCATCCAGCACCGCCGCCGCCACCACCCGGCCATCAACGTCGAAGACCCGCAGCACGCCTCGCCGCAGCAACACCACGGCCGCATCATCCAGCACCGCTGCCGCTACCATCGCACCATCTACATCGAAGACGCGCAGCACGCCTCGCCGCAGCGACAGCCTTTCAATAAAAAATTCAATCTAATGGCATCCATTCATTTTTAAAAAACTATTCAATGGCTGACAGCGACATGTGTGTAAAATGAGAAAGAACGGGCGATGGGCCCCATTTCACGGTCGATGCTTGTTTGGAACGGGTGTCAGATGATGCCATTCGTGTCAAAAGGCTATTTGCTTTCTTCAAAACCATGCAATTGTGAGCCTTTTGGATTCAATGGCCAAGGAAAGAAATTATACACCCGCAGCTGTCGTGAGCCACCCTGGTTCTCGCAGGTCAACGCGTCAGCAAGGCCAGCGACGCGCTTTGACGCGCTTTTATTTTTAAAAAAAAGGATCAAAAGAATCAAAAGTATGAAAATCCATTATCCATTTTCCATTATGTGCAGAAAGAAAGGCAGCTTGCCCAAATACCAGCCCATTGGCACCCAGTCCGCCCACACACGGCTACAAGTCAAAATTGTCGTGATTTCAATCGTCCTGCGCCACGTGCACATCTTATCGATTGTCCGTTTAGCGATTGCGCTTTTCTTTGTTCACGCGCAATCGCGTACACGCGCATTTCGGCAAACGCCTGTGCGACATCTTGTCAATCGTCAACAAAACTTCCAATGTTCCCACTTGCTTGGCCTTTTTTCATCCCAATTCTGTCTCTGTTCTTTTTTTTTTATTTTATTTAAACTCCGAATTTTGTGAAATGTCTAGAACTCATCTGCTTTCAAAATAACCGTGCTTCAATGGCTCAGATGGCAGAGCGTCCGCCTAGTAAGCGGAAGGTCCAGAGTTCAATTCTCTGTTGAAGCATTCATTTTTGCACTTTTTAGCAAGATTTTTTTTTTTTTTTTGCTTTTGCTTTTATCAGTTTGCAAGTTGTCCTTTTTGCTTGCTTTTTGGGGCTTGTTTACGAGTTCTGGTGGTGGCTGTTCCATCGAGCCATCGGTGGCGTGTCGATGGTACACATTAAGCTCATTTTTTTTTTTTCATGGTGGCAGTCGCTTGAGGCTACACCTGCTTATTTCGGCAGGTGTGTGCTGCATCCCAAAGATGGTGGGTGCGCGGGCAAACGTCTTGCGACGATAACAAGGGTGCAAAACAGATGGGACAATTGCATTTTTGCACATTTGCATTTTTTTAATGTTTGATTCAACGCCGATGCCTCGGTTGCTACACAACCTTGTGTCAGAGGGCACACAGTCGTGACGCGTCGGGTGGTACAGTCTGGTGGAAATGTTTTGCATCGTTCATGCACAATGATGGGGGTTATTTTCGGATTTGGCACGTTTTTTATTATTGCGTCTGCAATAGCCTTTTTTTTTTTTTTGAGATTATTAAACGTGGGCAAATTGCAAGCAATATCCGAGAGCAACAACAGGTCCAATCTTGATAGAGATCAGATAATCAGACTACCTGCAATCGTGCAATAACGCGTTTTTGGCATACTTGATGTACACTGTAGCGTGCCATTGAGCCAAGATACCTCCAAGTCTGCAACCTTGCTACGCATCGTCGTGTATTGCACATGAAAAACTGACAATTAGGTGGCTGTCGAGAACACGACGATTGGCGCATTTTCATTGTACATTTTGATTGTTTGTCAATGAGTGTACATTTTTCTACCGAAGACAATCAGCATTTTGAACTATGATAAACGGACCCACGCTTTCTCGTTCAAATGAGCTCTCTCTTGCGGTCTTGGGATCAATAGATGGCGCGCAGTCGCCAATTTCGAAAATCATGGGTTTTCCAAGGGATGCAGTCGACAATTTTCAGAATGCAAAATTTAGATCCTCAGATCACCATGCCCTTTAAACATAGGATGAACGCGGTTCTTTTACCGGCGAAAACACCATAAAAAGCAGGGGTCCATGGAGTGGTTTTCACGTAAAATGCGTTTGAGGAATTATTTTTGGCTCAAGGTGATCTCAAGCAAAAGTGCCTGTATCTCCAAGAAACTAGTACCGCCAGAAAGAGCATGGCTCGGAGCGTACGTGAACATGGGTGATCAATGATAAAAGTGATTTTTTGGGCATGTTTGACGCGGTTTCAAAATCATATGAGATTTCGACGCGTAAAAAACCGCGTCAGACGTCGAGTTATACGCGTCTGGTTCGAATCACATCCATGCATCTGGAGCATCTCTTTCTGATGGACTCGTCAAAGCGGCATTATAGTGCGCTTTTCCGGTGCAATTTGCCTGCAAAGGTTTAGCTAAAATTGCCCATTACTCGTGAGCCAGGCGATGGAGTGCGCGCCTTCATTGCATTTTCCGTGGTTTCGCCCTGCAGATTACTCTTGAGGCAAGTTTGGCGCTATTCTGGAGATGTCATTTTCCAATTTTGTTTTCAAGGGCGCTCGCGGCGAAATTTTGACTTGTGTGTGTTGCCCTTCAATGAGATGTGGCGGCTGCAAATTCAAACGTCCACCCGCTCTTTTAGCTTGCCAATCCACACTTGAACGTGTTTCGAGCCTTTTGCAGCACGTTGTTGGAGAATTGCATGTTGATTTTCTGTAAAAATGCCATTTTGTTGAATTACTCGTAAAAGCTCTGATCCAGATGGGTCTCTCAAGCAGGGTCATCCGACGTTTGGAGGCAGATGTTCAACCATGACAAGCTGATTCTTGGCGATTAACCTTTTAGACGTCCATGGTTGGGCAAGAGAGATCCAAAATAGACTTTTGACTAAGTCGTTGAAGATGACAACAAATTCGCTTCAAAAAATGCGCGCATTTACTGCGCTGTCACGCTCTTTCACTTGCAAGTCCAGCAGGGATGGAATTGGCTGTACCAAATGTTCGCGAAAAGGGCCTAAACGTCGAATTTACTCATTTTTGCTTTTATTCTTCCATACACATACAACGCGCCCTTTTTGTTTTTGCGTGGCGTGCACGCAATTAAGTCGATGAATAAGCGGGGCTCCATCGTTTGCATTTTAAAGCATCCGTTTCCCGAAATTTCTGCACAACGGTTGCCAACGTGGATGTCTGTTGGTGCGTTGTTCTATTTTGGGCAAAGGCGTTGATGTGGCAAAACTCCGAGGGCGCAGGCAGAAAAGCGACGCCGCGTTCCCGGGTATTTGAGTTGTTTCATCCCCACGTCATTTCATTGTTTCTTTCTCTTTTTCTATTTTTTTTACCTTTTGACAATACAAGTATGGCGGCGGAAAAGACGGAAAAAGAAAAGATGCTTGCGGGCGAATTGTACTTGCCGTTTGTTCCGGAGCTTGTAGCGGATCGTCAGCGGGCGGCGAAGCTGCAGAGCGAGCTGAACGCGGCGCAAGACGGCGGTGCGTGGCGCGTGGCGGCCGAGCAGCTGTTTGGGCACGTTGGCAAGAACACAAATGCGCGGCCCAACTTTCGCTGCGACTTTGGGTACAACATTTACCTGGGTGACGATGTGGACCTAAACTACGACTGCACGTTTTTGGATGTTGGCAAGATTTCCTTGGGCAATCGCACGGTCGTGGGGCCCGGTGTGCATATTTACGCGGTGAATCACCCGCTAGACCCTGAGCAGCGCAAGAAGCAGCTCGAGTATGGGCAGGATGTCAGCATTGGCGACGATTGTTGGATCGGCGGGCGCGTGACCATCTGTCCTGGCGTGAAAATCGGGCATGGTGTCACCATTGGTGCGGGCTCGCTCGTCACAAAAGATATTCCAGACAATGTCGTTGCCTTTGGCAACCCTGCCAAGGTCGTCAAGTCGGTCACCTGAGAGAATGAATGTTCAAACGAAACAAAAAAAAAGCAACTATTTATTAAAAAACGAGATTTGAGAGTGCAAACGAGGTGCTGGGGGGGGGCGCTAATAAATTATATTATACAAGAGTGGGAGGGGGGCAGGTGGATGATTAACTCTTCCACCAAAAACAAAAAAAAAAAAAGAAGAAAAAGAAAAAAGAAAAAAAAAAGAAAATGAACAATTAGGCCTCGCCGAGGAGCCATTCGGCCATCATGGCGTCTTGTTCCTGAATGTCGTCCCAGTCGTCTTCCTGCATGAACCACTCCTCGTCGCCATCGACGACACCCTGTTCACTGGAGCTGGAAGGATGGTCGTCATTGTCGTCGTCATCGATGGGTGTGTGGGTGTCGGTGATGATTTTATGTGTGTCTTGGTCATCATCTGGTGTGACGGTGAGTGTTGGCAAGTGGACGAGTGTGGCGAGGGGCGGCAGGCCGGGAATCGGGTCTGTTTGCATGGCGGTATCGACCATTGGCTGCTTTTGTCTTGACCTGGCGCGTTGTTTTTGCAACAGGAGCATTTGCAGGCGATCGCGGCGGTCATAAGCTTGGATGACGGGCTCTTCCTTGTCCGGCAAGGAAGAGGTGCGTTCTGTGAGCGATTTGGCGTCGGTGGTGCTTGTGCTTGTGGTCGTGGTGCTATTGCTGCTCTGGTCATCCTCCTTTTTATCGTCGTCCACATCGCTGACTTCGCGATCGTCCTCGGTGATGACGTCCTCGCGGATCAGGCGGCTTGTGCGGACCACTGGCCGGTCGCTTGCGGAGCGTAGCAGTGCTGGCGGCGGTGCATACGGCGATTGGGTGGGTTCGGAGGCGCCGGGGACACTATTACTTGCAGCCATGGCCTGTGCCGAGGCATTGGGCGTGTCCATGCGCTCCATGGTCAATGCAAAGCTCTCGTGGTACGATGTGGGTCTCGAACTCGTGGATGCGCGCTTGGCCACCATGGAGGACGGGCGCGTGTATCGATGTGTGGGCGCGTGGTCGCTCGTGTTGGGTGGCGACGGCAAATCCATCACATTCACGTCCTCGTCGTCTGTCTGCTGACTGCGTGACGACAATTGACGCGCACTGAGCACGAGTGGGGCTGGCGGTGCCTGTTTTTTGGTAGGTGTTTGTTGTTGTTCTTCCAATCCATTTTCTGTCGGAACACGCGGTTGCGTCGCCTTTGAAAGACGCGATGCAATGCTCGAGCTGGGCGTGAGTGGCGGTGTTTGCTGCTGCTGCTGCTGCTGTGGTTGTTGCTGCGGCAATGGTTGCGATGGCTGTTGTGATGGCGGCAATTGCTGGTGTTGCTGGTGTTGCTGGTGCTGGGGCACTTGCGGGGGCCGTGGCCGCGCCGGCGCGGTATTGGCATTGACCATGGGCATGGAAGAGGCGGTGGGAGGCGGAGGCGGAGGGGGCGGCAACGGTTGTTGAGGAACAGGTGGTTTTGGAGCGGCACGCGGGTTTTCAAATGGCTTTGCATGGGCAACTGGCATGGTCGTGGGAGGATGATGCTGATGCTGATGCATAGGCGGCGGTGGGGGAGGCATTTGATGGTGATTCGGATGATGTTGATGATTTTGGTGATTTTGAGGGTGATGTGAGTAATGGGGCAAGCTGTGGTGCAAGGGCGACGATGGACTGGCGTGGCGACGCGGTTGTGCAGGCAGCGAATTCACACTAGTCGTGGAAGGCGAGGCCAATGGGTCGTGGGTTTTGATTTCGATGGATTTCAGGCGATTTGGTGTGAGCGACACTTTCATGGTATTGCCGGACCGGATCAATTCCTCGAAATCAAGCGCCGGTGCGTCCGACTGGTACACCTGCAGTGCCGAGGCCGAGGCGGACGCGGCGGCGGCGGCGGACGACAGGTTGGCGGGTGCATTAGGGGTTGAAAAGGGTGGGGGAGGCGATTTGGCGCGTGGACTAGTGCTTTGCAGATCGGACGCGGACGACACGCGCTTGTCCTTGCGGCCAAAGAATCGAAAGCCCTTTTTGCTGCTTGCGGTGGACCGCGCCGTGGCCGTGGTGCCATTGCTGAGGACGGAAATGGGCCTGTACACGCCACTATTGTTGTTTCC